TGCCCTTAGACACTGTCAGTTTCTGCAAATCATCCGTATGCCAGCAGCTTCTGCAAACGTTGCTGGCTTTTTGTATTCTTCCGTAATAACACGATGATTTTGTTACTGATTAACTGTCATTTCAGTCCATCGAACAGGTATCCCTGCAGTATACTAAAGTAAGTAATGAGTTGTGTGTATGTGGAAGTTCATCTCTGAAAGCAAAGCAGATCTGCCTAAAGCTTGTTTAACACATCTACCTAACCTTGTTTTTCTCGGTTGCATGTTGGCTTACCGGTCGACGTCTGCAGTGCTGCGGCATAAACATAATGCTGGAATAGAATGAAACTTAAGGTTGCGAAGAAAATGCGCTTAATCCTCAAAAGCTTCACTGCCCAGCTGTTACAGAGTTTTTTTTCAAGTCTTGATGATACCGTAACAGTTCAATACGAGTATCTATTCATACTTCTTGGATCTGCACGCAGTCCTATGCTTGAGTCGTTGTCCACTTTCCAAGATCTTCCATAAACGACGGCCTTGACACCTGCGAGCTGTCGCAATCATCCGCGCTCGTTTAGATCCTTTCCAGCCACTGCAATAAATCTCGTTAAAATCCTAATGATGAGCAGTATCAAAGTAATCGGAAACGTTGGTGGCGAAATAAACCTTTTCTACTAAGAAACTTCCTGTAATTTAAAGTGACGTTCATTGCGAATTTATTGCGATGCGAAAAAGCACTTGTGTCATACACTGTAATCAGCGATCACCGGGTATTAATAGATTGTCGAATGGCGATTCAGCAACCACTGGTTGACGCCTGCGCAGATTTAAAAGTTGAAAGAACTTTTTGAAACTTAAAGTTGCATTTTACTAGCAAACAATAAACAGAGTTGATAAAAGCAGTATCGACCACAGTCTGCGACTTTGACTTGTATGCAAGCAACAAAGTTCCATCCGTCAGTGGCAGCGGAGAAGAGAAGTTTCGGCTCAGCTAGACGACATGTCGCTGACAGAGTTCTTGACGAACTCCTCGATTCGAAACATCGCACTCTCGTTGTCAGACGACGTCACGTCGTCGGGCAGGGAATGCGTTTCTGAGGGCACCGAATGAGTGACTTCGTCGGCGGTCGAACTGAACGACTGAGATCGGGGCGAGTCAACAGGAGAAACGCTGCAGTCGCTCTTGCAGCTCAGGGGAACACTGGATGAGTCAGCGGAACGCTTTCTAGGCTTGTGACTGCCACCACCGCCGCCGCCGCCTCCGCCTCCGCCGCCGCCACCGTCCATCATGATCACCTGCACGAACTTCAGGTTGTCCGCTGGATTGTGCATACCATGGGAACAGCTGAAATGCGTGTGCACTGGTTCGACGAAAGAGTTTTGACACAGAAAGCAGTAATACATCATTTTTTCTGAGTACTTCATTTTCATCTTCATCTGTCGCATCTTCTGGCGAGCGTATTGAAGCGACCAGCTATATAAATATCGGATGAAACACGAATATCGGCACCACTAAGCTTGTGACGTGAACGATGAACAAGCATACAATTTCGTGGCACATTGCTGCTAACGCTGGACCACTTACCGTGCTCGATGCTTACGTCGGATGCCATAATTGCGTTTTCCGCTGCCCTTCACTCTACTCTCAACTTTGGACTTCGTGATTAATCATTCACAACTCCGATGCACACTCAGCATCCGCATTCTTAATATTCTGTTACTCGAGTATGGCGGAACCTTTATATGAATATATTTAAAGTGGAAGAGTTTTTCCTTGCATGGATGTTCGTCATGAAAAGTGCGAAGCATAAAAATATCATCATGTGTAACAAAGGTATAATAACCCGAACATCCCATCACCAGTATGCTTATATGCTGACCAACTGACATGTCCGCCAGTTGCAGATAAGGGATCGACCTCCAGATATGGAAGTGTTAGCTACGAAAAATAAGCGGTTACGGACAAGACGCAATGAAACCACGAGGGTGTAGATGTGTTCAAGCTCGACAAGTTCGATCCTCACAGAAAATGTCACAATGCCAAATGACGGTCTCATATTGAGGTGAAATCGACTCCCTCCTTTGAAGGAAAATGACTTTTTCAAAGGCTAGAAGCGATAACCAATAAAAACGGACGTAGTTAAAGGATCAGCCTGTACAAATTCCCCAGGCAAACGTCAGCTTTGTCAGCGAGTTGCAAAAATATATGCTACGATAACACGAATAAATGGGCCTCAGTACCCTGCGCGTCTTTCAACCATTACAACAGCGGCTGTTCGGTTTTTTACTGACGAGTTGCTGCTAAGAATGCCAGGCCACCATCTGATAAACGGAGTTGGACCTCCCTCGCCGTTTGCTCCGACAACGGTGGAAAGTTGTTGAGGGATGAAACTTAAATGAACTAATGGAAAAAGGGTCAAAGAGCCTACGACATTCTTGGCATTTGCGAGACACGACGGCAGAAGGAGCGGAATGGTATCTGGAAAGAAGCTAATTCGATTTGGTGAGGGCAAGCCAGAAGAAACGAGAGCGAAGAACATAGGACGAATCGGGTTTGTGGTCAGCGAAAACTGGTCCTCCACAATCATCCCTACCAAGTTAAATCGCCAACACTGGCCATGCTGTGCCTTCAACAAGAAGAAGACATTGGATATCGCCCAAAGCTATCCTCTCACAAGTACAGCCGACGAAGAGGAAGTTGGTGAATTTCATCGATGACTAGAACAGACATTAATCTCAAAGTTCACGTACACCCTTTTCATGGGAGACTTCAATGCCACGGCCAAACGATAAAGGGCAGGTAAAACTTTTGTTGGTAGTTAAGGTAGCGTAGAGCGAAATGAACCATAATATCGGCTGGTAACCAAGGCAGAAACGAAACACCTGTACAGTGACAACAGCTAGTTCAAAAAGAAGACCAACAGGAAGTCGAGTGGATTACACAAAATACAGCGACGATGTATGAGATGAACAACACCACCAAATATTCATTTCGCAGTGTGCTCGAATTCCCTGTTGGTGTCTTGATCGCTTCGACGAACTCGGCACTCGTCATTCTCTTTTGGACTTTTACCCTGATGCCCTATTACTGCTCACAGCTTCGTGAGTGCGCCAAAGGCGACACTGATGCACATATCAAACAAGCGAACAACTGGTCAGTGCAGAATATCTGCCACAGTATCACTGCATATATTCAGATATTCTACAGGCTGGGGCGAAATTTTAATGAACATCCGCTCTTAAATTACGACGAAATCTCATGTCGAATTTGCACGAAAACAGAAAACTACAACTGATCCTAGATGAAAAAGCAGAGGTTATCGCTCGCAGTGCCCCTCGCCTCCTCCCAACCGCTGCAAACATTTTCAATAATCCCATCAGTCGCATTTCCACAGGCAATAAGGAAACAGGCCACGGAACACATAAGTGAGACAAACTTCATCGAGCAAACTCACCGATTACGCAACTATTCCATGCCGCCATCGATAGAAGTTACAATTCGCTAAGGTAGCAGTTTTAACACAAACCACACGTAATAGATGACACCACGGCGACTGGTCCTTCGGTAAGACCGTGCTCTTCTTCTTCTTCTTCAATGAACGTTTCTCTTTACGATACGCGGAAGCAGACGAGTCAGACAGGTGCTTCCATCGTTCCCGATCCTGTGCCAGAGTCTGAGCTTCGGCAGAAGACAACTGGCGTCCGGAGCAGACTCCTTCCGTATAATTGCACTTACCGTATAATTGCAATCTTGGCCGTCCTCAGGGCCTTCTGCTGGTCGTCTGGGCACGAAGCAGTTGC